ATTTAGGGACTTTATGGAAGTTTTGTTACATAGGTCAATCTCCAGCCCCACTCTGCCTCCCAGTGTCACTGTAGAGTGTCTTGACTGCAAGTTGTCCAGGTTCTTGGTGTTTTGAACAAAGAATTGGACAAAACACCCAGCAAAGCAAAGAAAGAATGAAGCAAAGAAAGAACAAAAGCAGGAATTTATTGAAAATGAAAGTACACTCGACAGTGTGGAAGTGGACCCAAGCAGCGGCTCAAGGGCCTGGATATAGAATCTTCTTGGGTCCAAATACCCTCCAGAGGTTTCCCATTGGCCACTTTATGCTCACCTCATGTGAATGAAGTGGTATCCCACAATCAGTCTGATGGGTTGCCTAAAACCACCAATCAGAGGCTGAAATGGAGTTACAAAGGTCACACTCCTGTGCAAACATCTGATTGCTTTTTGCAACCAATCAGAGGCTAAGGTGAAGTTACAAAGTAGCAAACGAAGACTCCACCAACAATCAGTTTGATTGATTACAGACAGCCAATTTCCCATCTGCCAGCAGAAGACACAGGGGGTTTTGGGAAGGGAGTAGTCTTTTGTTCTTTAGGTGTGGAAAGTTAGGGTTTTCCTTTCAATTTAGTTCTAGGAAGTCAGTGTGAAATGGCCTTATGTTCCCTGCCTCCAGACCCTATTCTCCTGCCTCACCAGGAGGTGGGCATGAGAGTTGGGGGGTATCTGGAAATTTTAGTCCTCAATCATGTGGTTGGTTTTCTGGTGGCCAGCCTGTAGACTGAAGCTATGTAGTCCTCCCCACTGTGAGTCATCTCATTAGCATACAGAAGACAGTAAATTCCAAGGGCTTTAGGGACTCTGTGCCAGGAACTGGGGACAAAGATCAAATACTTATTTTTCATTATACCACAGATACCTGTTAGGGTTTTGTTATTGTTGTTTCTACAAAACATTCATTTATTCTTGTATTCAAGAGAAGTAATATCTTCAGTCATGATTAGATTTCAGATATGAAAGAGTTTTTGCTAGTCTTAGCCCCCAGTCATAAAATAATGTCATGAAAACATTTTTATTCCCTAATGATTATAACTAAGGGAAAAGATCTTAAAGAGTTGATTTTGGTAGTACAAGTGTATGCAAATGATTGATGATTTTGCTAATTGTTTTTCCTTGATTTGTGCATTAGCAACTTTTAGTGTGTCATATCAAGAGGAATGCTGGGGAAATAAAATAATGATTATTTATATGGAGTTCTCTGTTTTCTTGTTTTGGCAATATTTGAAAGTTAGGACTGATCCTGAGGGAGTTGAATTTTGTAAAGTTAATTACTTTCCTGCTGCCAGTACTGATTTATATCTGTGATATTATATCAGCTAGTCATATGGGAATGAGAAACAAAATTACTTTTCTGCAATTACCAACTCACTAGTAGGGTATTCAGGTGTCCCTGGGTAGCACACAATGTAATACAGTAGTGGGTAAAACTTTTTTCCAATTTGAACAAAAAGGCCTTGTCAACTTTTTAAAGGTCTCTTGATACATATATAAAAGAAGTCATAAAGAGCACTTGGTATATAGAGAACATAATTTTTTAAATTACTTTTTTAAAGAGAGGTCAAACTTATCTCTAGGGACCTAGACCAGAGTTTATCCTCCTATTTTCTTATAGACCAAGAAGGAAAGAAAGTTACCAGATTTAACCTATCAAAAATTTTGGCTATTTATTGGATACCATCCAAGTAATCTTAAAATTAAATGTGTGTGTGTGTGTGTGTGTGTGTGTGTGTATATATGTATATACCTACAGTCAACCCTTTGTGTCTGTGAGTTTCACATCCGTGGATTCAGCCAACCTCAGATTGAAAATATCAGAGGAGGAAAATGGATGGTTGCATCTGTATTTAGTATGTACAGACTTTTTTTCTTATTATTCTCTAAGCAATACAGCATAACAACTATTTATATAGCATTTATATTGTATTAGGTATTATAAGTAATCTAGAGATGATTTAAAGAATACAGGAGGAGGCCGGGCACGGTGGCTGACACCTGTAATCCTAGCACTTTGGGAGGCCCAGGTGGATGGATCACGAGGTCAGGAGATCGAAACCATCCAGGCTAACACAGTGAAACCCCGTCTCTACTAAAAATACAAAAATTTAGCCAGACGTGGTGGCACCTGCCTGTAGTCCCAGCTACCCAGGAGGCTGAGGCAGGAGAATCGCTTGAACCCGAGAGGCAGAGGTTGCAGTGAGCTGAGATCGTACCACTGCACTCCAGCCTGGGCAACAGAGTGAGAGACTATCTCAAAAGAAAAAAATAAGAATACAGGAGGATGTGCGTAGGTATGCAAATACTACATCATTTTATATCAAGAACTTGAGCATCCATGGATTTTGATATCCTCGGGGGTCCGGGAACCAATCCCTCTCAGATGCCTAGGGACAACTCTATATTATGTGTCTGTGCTGTATGTGTAACATCTTCTCAAAAGTTACATTGACAGGCTCATTCCTCCTGATCATAATTTCTCAGTTCTTATGATGGGATATGGTTTTTATAGTGATAAGATGTGAAATGTATTAAACTGTGAAAATGTAATCAATGATTGGGGGAGGGATGTGTTTACCATTCTATCACTGGATCAAAATATATGCCTTGAACTAGGGTGAGACATCCATAGCCTGGTCCTCTGTTGCCAATGGCAAGATAGAGTTAGTAAAATATTCTAAGATTCAGAGTGGGGTGGTTCTTTAATTTATTTTGATTTCCATGACTATGTATACGAAGGATAGAGATGCTTTTCAGGAATGCCTAAGTTTCTGACTTTTAGTTGATGTGTTAAATCATACATGCAAGCAATCTAGTATTGGGTAACAGTGTCAAATTTTGATACTTACAGAAGTAGGCAGATGAGTAGTTATTTGGTTTTGTGGTAGCCCAAGATACTGAGTGAGCTGCTAGGATAATTCTTTGGCTACTAAATTCCATGCCATACTTCAGAGTCCAGGCCCACATTTAGATTTTTTATTTTGAAGGATTAAGTCATGTGGTAGTGGTAGCTATGGGTTACAGTGACAAACCCCTACCTCAATATACTTTATGGCTATGTTTCCAGTGACTTCAATGAGCCTTCTAGCCTTACTAGTACTCATCTAATTACTTTATCTTTTAAAAAAATATTTTAGCCAACATTTAATTCAAAAGAAAGCTTGAAATGTAGCCTACTCGTGGAAAATATTTTATGTAAGTGGAATCACATAGTACCTGTCTTTTTGTATCTGGCTTATTTCACTTAGCATGATGTTTTCAGGGTTCATCTGTGTTGTCGCATGCTTCATTCATTTTTACAGCTAAAGAAAATTTGTGCGTGCGTGTGTGTGTGTGTGTGTGTGTGTGTGTACATACTACATTTTGTTTATGCATTCGTCTGTTGATAGACATTTAGGTTGTTTCCTCTTCTTGGCTATTGTGAATAATGCTGCAACACATTGGGCATTTTGATCTGTGGTTTTTGATGGTCTTTGGCATATTTTTAAATAAGGCATTGTTTATATGTTTATTTGCTATAAAATATGAAATATTTTCATTGTCTTAATAAAAGAGAGAAGCAAAGTCTCTACTTATATGTTAATGAAAAGAAAAATTAAATATAGTGAGACTATGCCATCAAACTTTATCGTGCCTGCTAACCACTTCATCAGTATGAGAATATTTCCCCAGAGAAGGCTGGACGCATCATCAGGCCCCAAACCACCCTGTTTATAAAGCATGGCAGGCAATCATGCTTCCCTCAACCCCAGAAAACTAAAAGAAAAACTTTTGGTTACTCTGTAATCTTTGAAAAGAAAAAATTAGTTTAATAAGGTATTGCTTTATAAGATTTAATCTTAGATGTTCTGAAGAATACTTTTTTTTTAAGAATTAAGTTTTAACTCAGGTAATTTTTACTACACCTTTTATTTTTTCCTCTTCAAAAGTCATATGTCACTGTTTTTTTGTTTTTGTTTTTGTTTTTGTTTTGAGACAGTCTCTGCTCTGTTGCCCAGGCTGGAGCACAGTGGCGCCATCTCAGCTCACTGCAACCTCTACCTCCTGGGTTCAAGTGATTCTTCTGCCTCAACCTCCCGAGTAGCTAGGACTACAGGTGCCCACCACCACACCTGGCTAATTGTTTTGTATTTTTAGTAGAGACGGGGTTTTACCATGTTGAGTAGGCTGGTCTCGAACTCCTGACTTCGGATGATCCACCTGCCTCAGCCTCCCAAAGTGCTGCGATTACAGGCATGAGACACCGTGCCAAGCCAAGTCACTTCTTATAGATGGTTTCACAGAATATTTCCTTCACTTTTTGCAGACTGTTTAGCTTTCCCAGTATTTTCAATCATAACTCATATTTGGTGGTTCATATGTGAAATATTACAGTTACACAAATATGATTATTTTACCTTGTTACTGTACATCATAGATTGCGTCTTTTTGTTTTTATTTTTTCACTGGTTATTGTCTTTTGATTAATACATAAATATCTATGCAACTTGGCCTGGTGCAGTGGCTCACGCCTATAATCCCAGCACTTTGGGAGGCCCAGGTGGGCTGATCACTTGAGGTCAGGAGTTCAAGACCAGCCTAGTCAACATGACAAAGAGCCATTTCTACTAAAAATATAAAAATTAGCCAGGTGTGGTAGCAAGCACCTGTTGTCCCAGCAACTTGGAAGGCTGAGGCAGAAGAATCTCTTGAACTCAGGAGGCAGTTACAGTGAGCCAAGATCACACCACTGCACTCCAGCCTGGGCGACAGAGTTAGACTCTGTCTCAAAAGAAAATGAAAAAGGAAGATCTGTGCAACTTGTGTAGTAATTTCATTTATACAGTCTTCAGTCATGGGTTGTCTACAAACTTCATCAATAAACAAATGAGCTTGCCCTTCACGGTTGCCCTTCTGGGGTCAAATGTGGTGGAGTCTGGGACAGCCACATTCTGGTAACCTGCAGGATGATTTGGGTGTTTTAGCTGGTGGAGGCAGTGACCTCAGACTCTGGACGGTGAACGGGGATCTCGTTGGACACGTCCACTGCAGGGAGATCATCTGTTCTGTGGCTTTCTCCAACCAGCCCGAGGGAGTATCTATCAATGTAATTGCTGGGGGATTAGAAAATGGAATTGTAAGGTAAGAGGAATTTGGATTCTCTTTTATTGATTTCATAAGGACATAGGAGTTTCAGAAATTAATTTTTAGTACTAGGCATATTAATATTCAGTATTTAGAGATTTAAACTCACCTTGGGATACAGGCTCTTTAGTTATTCCTGTTTTATTTCTAAATAATAAAGATAGCTTTAGTACAGTTTTGAAGTTTTATGTTAACTATGAAAGATTAACAATATGAAAGTATACAAAGTTAAAAGTTCCCTTATTCCCACATCTACCCCCTGCAAACTTCCTAGAGGGAATTACTGTTAATTATTTGTTACATTTCCTTCCAAATGATTTTTAACAAATAAACAAATATGGAGGGCTTTTTAGGGAGAGTAATTTTAGTTTGCATAATTAGATGATTTTTTTCCCTTCTAGGTTATGGAGTACATGGGACTTAAAGCCTGTGAGAGAAATTACATTTCCCAAATCAAATAAGCCCATCATCAGGTAAGATCTTCTCCCCTTTATGCTTGAGAATATAATTTGTGATTGTATTTTTTGTAGAGAGGTATTTAAGCACGCAGACTTAAAGAAATGTGTGATTGAAGTCATCATGAAAAGCCAACCATTTAACACACAGTGTGTTGTCCATGATCCAGCAGCAAGAGAGACCACACTCCTTGTCTTCGTGGATCTTAAAATCTGAGTCAGTGACTCAAAGTCTAATGGAAAGACATGCTTGTAGCATGTCTCTGGAATCATAGAGACTATATTTTTTCCTTTCGTATTTGACAAGACCATAATGGTGATTGATAGCTGCAGGGGTGCTTGACAGGATAGATAAATAATCAGTTACTCTTTGCTTAGTTAACAAATTTGACTTTAAATAATTAGAAATAAAGTGATTCAAATTCTACTTTATTAAATTAAATGTATTTTCAGTGTACCAAATTTAAAGTTGAAGGAACCTATATTATTAATGTTACATTTTTTTTCCTTTTCTCTTTCAGGGAAATAATATATAGCCATAAAATACTTATTTATCTTTATAAGGAGAAAATATAGTACTGTTAATTTTTTTTAAGTTTTGTACACCCAAATATTTGTTGTTTATGTAATAAAGCATAAACAAGGAGGCAAAAGAAGATATGCAAAGAAGAACAGAATGTACTGAGCTTTGTGATCCTGATTTTATTCTATATCACCTCATTCACGAGCATCTCAAACTTGTCAGCAGAGTGACTATATTAGAATTACAGTCAAAACCAGTGAGTTGTAGGCAGTCATTTAGTTTATGTCTCTCTGCGCCACTGAAGATAACTTCTTTACACTAACCTCAGTGTGATGACCAAGATGCGAATACCATTTTAAGAAATATAATATACAAACGGGAATTTTTTTTTTTTACAGCCTTACATTTTCTTGTGATGGCCACCATTTGTACACAGCAAACAGTGATGGGACCGTGATTGCCTGGTGTCGGAAGGACCAGCAGCGCTTGAAACAGCCAATGTTCTATTCCTTCCTTAGCAACTATGCAGCCGGGTGAATGCAAATGAACTTTGCGTTCTCCAGAGCACTTTAACTCCAAACTAGATTTGTTGACTTCACCAGTTTTAGGAGGTTGAACCTAAAGAAATGGATGACTGAACAAACCATCCAAATAATGATAAAGTCTATTCATCTGCACAAAATTCTAAAGATGTACATGATCCTAAGAGGAAAGTTCTGTTCTGTTTTAATGATAATCTGGAAGATTGTGTCAATATGCACTAGCTAACAAGTTTTAAGCCTTGCATGGTATATTAAAATGATATTCTTAAAATTTTTTCCCACCAAGGTATTCCAAAGAAAATATTAAGGTCTTCCCTTTTTCTATGATTCCAAAAGAACCAGTAGAATTTAAATTGGTTAGCTAATTGTTTATATAAAACACAGTAAAATTATATTTTAAAAGTTTTCTGCCATGAAATACTCCTCCCACCACACACACATGCTCCAAAAGAGGAAAGAAAAAATGATAATTTTTAGGACTTGATAATTGCTTTATTTGAGAAGCAAATTATTCAGTAGGTGCCTCTGTACCAAATATTTTATGGAGTGTCTGAATACTAAAAATAAACTATGAATGAATCTCAAAGTTAGGCAGTTTTTGCCAGTTTCCTTCTTAGCTCAAAGGAGAACCAGAATTTTTTTGACAGCCACAAACAAGAATACAGGTATCTTGGATTTCAGACACATTCTGTTTCTTCATAAAAATTTTACTTAAAATGTGTAACACTAGATATTAAATATCCTTAGTTGAGTCACTAAGGTTTAAACACAGTGGTAAGTCTTAAAGTCTGCTATTTTTAGAGCATTGAATCTGTACCAAATTGCAATAGAAAGCCTCCAGTATGCAAGAAGTTTGCGTGGGTATTAAGAATACAGCCTAAATAAGCCATTTAATCTAATCTGCAGGAAGAATTTTCTTCCCCAAAACAGAATTAGAAAAGAAAAGGAGACAGCTTACTTTATTTTAAACAGGAGGCAGAATAATTCTTTTAGGAAACCATTTTCATTCTGTTTCTACTAACCTATATCATCTGAGAATTCTAGGAAGAAGAATAAAATCTAGTGTATTCCACAGCAAACTTACATACCATACAGACAGAATTCCTAACTATCTTGGAACCGTCTGTCTCTCCCATATGATGGCTGTCTGTATATTTTTACTTGGGGTGGTGCTTTATTGGCTTTGAAAACACTGTCAAATAAGCTCAGTAATATGTTACCATGGGATAAAAATATGTATCCCTGCCTAAGAATAACTTGTGCATTTGTTATGGAAATTTAATTCATATGGTGTTTACAGTACTACTTTTGTAACTTCCAGACTTTCTAAAACATTCTGCTTAAAAACCATACAAAATATAATTCCAAAGTCTCTGCTGTCAAGATAGATTCGAGAGAAAGCAAGTGGCCATGTATGCTTTAACCTTAAACTGCGTACACATGTAGTGATACCTAGGCTGCATTTAGATCACCATGTGCTCAGGCCAGGTGTTAATCCTGAGGTCCATGGAGGTGCAGAGATGAGATTACTCCTATTCACGTTGAAGTGATTTGCTTTGTTAACAAACAATTGCAGCTATTGTCTAGCTTTCATTTTTTTACTGAGAACTTTAAATTAGTCCCCTATTAGAATAGGGTTGCTACTCAGTCTTTTTTTAAAAACCGAGTTTCATCATTTATCTAAACAGAAAATATGCAAAATAACTGGTCTTGTTAAGAGTGCAATATTATATTTTTATGTACAAATAAAAATTAATTTGGGGGGATTATTTATTCAGCATGAAACCTAATATGTATATGTTTGAAATACTTCATAATGTGCATGTTGTAGCAAACATTTCTGTAAATTATCACAAGCTCTGTTACCTTTATATACACTGCCACTTCAATTTGGAAATAAATTTCATAAAAATAGACTTAAACACCTTTTCTTTAAGCTATTTAAATGTTATGAGCAGATCTCAAATCAATGGCTTTTTTTGTAACCCACATAGGTTTTGTCTTTAGCTCCACTATGCGTTTACATCACTAGATAAAGATAACTTTTTTTTTTTTTTTTTTTTTTTTTTTTTTTGAGATGGAGTTTTGCTCTGTCACCCAGGCTGGAGTGCAGTGGCGCGATCTCAGCTCACTGAGGTTCAAGCGATTCTTCTGCCTTAGCCTCCCGAGTAGCTGGGACTACAGGAGTGCGCCACCAAGCCCGGCTGATTTTTTTTGTATTTTTAGTAGAGACAGGGTTTCACCATGTTAGCCAAGATGGTCGTGATCTCCTGACCTCGTGATCCACCTGCCTTGGCCTCCCAAAGCGCTAGGATTACAGGTGTGAGCCACCATGCCTGGCCTAACTTTCATTTCTTATTGTGGTTTTTGTACTAAAATTTTATGTTTCAACCTTTACTACCCTTAAATGGTGTGGACATTAGTCCCAAGATCAAACCGCTTATTTTAAGGAAAAGACCATCTGCTCACCCCCATCCCCACAGCAGATCTATATTGAGCCCTTGCCAGGTGCTAGGCACTGTACCAAGTGCTGAGGATACTTGCTGCACGAAGCACAGTGGTCCCTGCACTCCTGGAGGTTACAGGCTGGTGGAGAAACCACCATAGATAACACACAGCATGTACAGTTACAAACCATGGTAAGTGTCAGGTAAAATATAGGGTACTCTGAAAGAATGTAAGAGGAAGGACTTTATTTAGATTGAGGAGATCTAGAAAGCCTCTTGAAAATTTGACATTTTTGGCCAGGCACTGTGGCTCACGCCTGTAATCCCAGCACTTTGGGAGGGCGAGGTAGGCGGATCACTTGAGGTCAGGAGTTGGAGACCAGCCTGGCCAACATGGTGAAATGCCGTCTCTACTAAAAATACAAAAATTAGCCAGGTGTGGTGGTGGGCGCCTGTAGTCCCAGCTACTTGGGAGGCTGAGGCAGGAGAATTGCTTGAACCTGGGAGGCAGAGGTTGCAGTGACTGAGATTTTGACACTGCACTCCAGCCTGGGCAACAGAGCGAGACTCGGTCTCAAAAAAGAAAAATTGAAATTTTTGTTGAAACCTAATGAATGATTAGAAATCTGGTGAAGATGGGGGCAGATGTGTTCCAGGTAATACATGTTCAATAACTGGGGCAGGAACATCAGCAAAGGCCCAGGGAAGGGAAGAGCATCCTGTCCATGTCTCAACTTCTTGGTGGGTGGGGGTAGGGGTGAAAACGGTGGGTGACGTCAACAACAGCAGTCCAGGGACCCGAGTTCTGCCCTTCTTTCTGCCTTGCATCTGTGGTATTTTAAGATTCTCGAGACTACAGCATTCCTGTTTCTAGGTGTCTGTCCCAAAGAGAACTGAGCAGTAGCATTTTGTCAGTGTAAGCCTGCCAGCCCAGATGTCCCCTCTTTACCTGCTAGTCTCAGTTGGACTTGCCCTTTCCACAGTGCTCACTGAATGCCAGTTCTGTGCAAGCCCGAGGCTAGAGGCTGGGTGGGAAGGGAGAGGAGGGGGATTCTTTCCAGCTCAAAAGAGCTCATGCAGGCGGGCACGGTGGCTTACCTCTGTAATCCCAGCACTTTGGGAGGCTGAGGTGGGTGGATCATGAGCTCAGGGGCTCCACCACCAGCGTGGCCAACATTGTGAAACCCCGTCTCTACTAAAAAATACAAAAATTAGGCGGGCATGGTGGCACGCGCCTGTAATCCCAGCTACTGGGGAGGCTGAGGCACGAGAATCGCTTGAACCTGGAAGGCGGAGGTTGCAGTGAGCTGAGATTGCGCCACTGCACTCCAGCCTGGGTGACAGAGCAAGACTCAGTCTCCAAAAAAAAAAAACAACAAAAAAAAAACCTCATGCCTGGTGACCTGCTTCTCACAATTTTGGATGACTTGTTTGTGTTCTGAGGGGAAAAGCAAAAAACAAAACAAAAAAAGAGCTACAAGGCCAACTTTTTTTTTTTTTTTTTTTTGAGACAGAGTTTTACTTTTTTTCCCAGGCTGGAGTGCAAGGGCGCAGTCTCGGTTCACTGCAACCTCCGCCTCCTGGGTTCAAGCGATTCTCTTGCCTCAGCCTCCCCAGTAGCTGGGAATACAGGTGCCCGCCACCATGCCCAACTAATTTTGTATTTTTAGTAGAGATGAAGTTTCACCATACTGGCCAGGCTGGTCTTGATCTCCTGACCTCAGGTGATCCACCTGCCTCGGCCTCCCAAAGTGCTGGGATTACAGGCGTGAGCCACCGTGCCCAGCAAGGCCAATGTTTATAAAAATGAGTATGGAGGAAAGAAACTCAGCAAGTGAACGTTTTTTATCAATAATCGCAGAACAGTGGGGGTTCCTGGATCATCCGTGTTGCAGGCCCTCTTTCTTTGCTGATTACCCTTCAGGTGTCCCCAGTTTGTCCCAAACTATCTCCCATCTTGGACAGCTATATTATTTTTTCATTGTACTCCTTCTCAAGATAACACTCCATGTACTGCGAAGCCAAAGCACTTTAAAACCTAACGAGCTTAAAACCTTGAACCAGAAAGACCAACTGAAAAGCATTAGTGGTTGCGGGGAGACGGGTAGGAAACAAAAGAACTGCCACTGGAGAGAACAATTCACAATTGAGGTCAAAGGAAGCAAAAGAGCTTTTAAGTTGAGCACAAACTGGTATTGCGGAGTATTGCAAAAGCTTCATGTTGCATGCAGGATTTCCCCCGGGGTCATGTCGTTTTCCACTGCACAATTAAGGCAGCTACATTTGCCAATACCAAACATACACGTATATGTACATTGAGTTGAGAAAGAGGTGCCAGCAATACCGTGTGTCATGTGACAACAGAAAACTATATCTTGCCGCTTTGGGACACTGGGTTGCAACTCAGTTGTTTGAGAGAAATTAAATAATACAGTGTGTCCTTTGAGGCCAAAATGACTAGAAGATCATTTGAGACTAGGCTACAATATTCCTGCTCAAGAGCTGAGCTCGTTCTTCCCCCATGAGCGAAGTTAATGAGAGATGAGTTTGGAAGAGATTGTCTTGTGGCAAAGTTTGGCTCATTTCCAAAGTAAATTCAACTGCTCTTGCCAAAACTTCTGAAGACTGATAATAATGAACTAGTCTTTCATTCTCAGATTTTTATTTTGTTAAAATAGCTATAAAAGTCCTTGGAATCCAGTTCCAAGAGTAAATAGAAAAGACTGTCTTTTCTGAGACTTTTAGTAAAAATTAACCTATAATTTTCATAGTAGTTGATATAATCTAAATACAAATGAGTCATTAGGTAACTTCATTATGTAGTTTCTATACACAATTTTCCACACAGTAGTAGTTTATTACAACAAAGTAAGAGCTACTTACATGTGTTCCTACGTGGATATGAATTAGACATTCCATTTTGTTTTCCACAATGGTCTGGAGAACAGGGTGAGGAGGTAAAATGCCTCACAGCCTGAGGTGGAGAGCGGAAGAACAGCTGTTTTCCACCACCCTTTCCACCATGTGCATTTTTAGACCCAAGCATTGTTCTCTGTTCCCTGCTGCAGGCATTTCAAAGCCAGCTTCAGCCCCACCTCATGGATACATGTGCTCAATGGTGCTGCTCACTGCTTTATGTTTAACTGGTAGTCTCTGCCTGAACTCTGTGTTCTCCTGAACTTTAAATTTCCTCAGTTATTACAATCAATTATTTGGAATATACTTAGTGTTGGACAGTCTTTCTCTTGTGAACATCTATGAGTTTCAAAAACAAAAATCATCAGAGCTGAATCTGAGAAATAGAACTGTTTTAGTCAAAAACAAGTTACGATTACGAGGTACTAAAAAAAAATGTGTGATTCGGCAAGTAATTCCAAAAGAGGAGTTTTTTTAAGATTTTGAGCAATGTGTAATATCACTGGAATAGGGTAGATTAGGTACTTAGGAGAAACGAAGGATGAAAGCAAGCAAGCGTCACAGGACGGATGGACAGGTACCTGTCTCATTGTTTCTTTTCTTGATTTTTTGTTTGTTTGTTTGTTTGTTTTCGAGACAGAGTCTTGCTCTGTTGCCCAGCCTGGAGTGCAGTAGTGTGATCTTGGCTCACTGCAACCTCCACCTCCCAGGTTCAAGAGAGTCTCCTGCCTCAGCCTCCCAAGTAGCTGGGATTACAGGTTCGTGCCACCATGCCTGGATAATTTTTGTGTTTTTAGTAGAGATAGGGTTTCACCATATTGGTCAGGCTTTGTCTCAAACTTCTGACGTCAGGTGATTTGCTGGCCTCGGCCTCCCAAAGTGCTGGGATTATAGGCATGAGCCACCGCACCCGGCCTTCTTGATCATTTTTAGAAAAACTTCCCAACCCCAAATAAATGACCAAGTCCTGCTTGCTTTTCTTTGTGTTTGGATAACGTCCTTCACAAAGTGAAGCCACACTGGATGATCTGCAGTTACACACTTCCCTTGGCGTGAACTTATTTCACTCCCCCAAAGGTTCTCTTAACTCTTTTCTTGTCCTCCGTTTTAGTAGATTACAGTTCTTCCTTATTTATCTCAGGATAGTCCCTTATACAAATATTAAAACAAGAGTGAAAATGACAGAGTTGTGTACACATGTCCTGCCAGAAATGATAAGCGCTCCTTGTAGATCCACTGAGAAAGGTTTGTTTAGAGTCCTATTTAAGACCAACAGTTCATTATCATTCAGGGACAAATTGTGCCAGAAGCAACCTGTCTCTCTTTCAATCTGGTAATTCTTATATTTTCTCTGTGCATTAAATCACTCCATATTAGACAATATTTTGCAGTTTTTATTATCCTGCTATCAACTGATGCTTGGGAACTTTTTATCGAGGAATAACATTCAAAAGCTAAGGCTGTTCTTTTAGTAATTTCCTTCCTAAGTGATGCCACTCATATACCAAACTACCTTTGCCAAATCTTCAAAAAAAAATTAAATTTAAGCAAGT